CCAGGCAATGACTCAGGCAAGTGCTCTTTAGAGGCAGCTGGGCTAGGGCTAATCTCAGATGGGAGTGGAGGGGCTAATGGTTTTTCTGGGCAGAGTGGTTTAGCAGACAAACATGAAGTAATATCTTCAGGTGGGACTGGTTCTGCTGGCAGGAGTGATTCAATGGAATTTACAGGCTCAGTGTCTCCAGCTTCCTGATTATCTGCCCATATGTCCCCATCCCAAGTTTCAGGATCCCATCTCTTCCCAGTCAATGCCCTTACTTTAACTTCAGACACCTCTCGAGGTTTGCAGTTGAGCTGGCATTGTAATTCAGCCATTCTTACAATAAGACTGGGTTTGGTTTTCAGCAGTTTTGGCTCTGTTACTACAAGAAATAAGGCTTTCTTTCAAAGCACAAGTGGAAGCCTTGAGGTCATTTATGCAGCACTTGAGCTTTGACTCTGAAGCCCTGAGTGCATCTCTTCCCTTCATCGGTTTGTCTAGCGAAAGTAGGACAAACCAACGAAAGTAGGACAAACCAACCAGTTTCCTTATACTTCTCATTCTGACAAAACTGTAGAAAGATATCACACATGCGTTCACCCTGAGCCTCACCTTTCAGCAATACCTGATCTATCGGTGGTGATACTTTGTGTATTGGTATCGCCATCTTGCTCCATGGACTATCAGTGACCTCTTTGCTGCTGGAAGCAGAGTCATCAACGTCTTTATGACTAACCAGACTTGAGAACCAATTTAGAAAACTCAGCCTTACAATTTTGTTTCTCTAGAACCACTCCTGGTACCAAATGTCTTAGACTGGGTTCTCTAAAGAAGCAACACCAGTAAAGTGTATAAATATATACATAGAGATTATATCAAGGAAACAGCTCGCGTGATTGTAGAGGCTAGAACATCCCAAGTCTGTGGATCAGGGTAAAGGCCTCTCCCAAGTCACACAGCTGCAGAAGCTGACAAGCCCAAGATTGGCAGGTCAGCAGATAAGCTGACAGCTCAAGTCCCAAGAATGGGAGATGAGATGACAGGAAGCAGCCGCAGGATCCAGAGACAGCAAAAAGCCAGAACGTCTGCTTATATACAGATGCAGGCCACACCCCCAAGGAGACTCCCTTTCATCTGATTGGCTACTCACAGTATATTTAGTCATGGGAGTGATTACATTAAAACACTGAAAATCGTGACCCAGCCAAGTTCACACACAATCTTAAGCATCACATCATCCTTTGTCTTAGTTGGCAGTGTTAAGCTTAGATTTCTGACATTGTTATTAAACCCAATTCTTGTCCCTCTTACCAAATAGAACTAGGATAGAACCAAGAAAATTGATAGAACAAAAGGAGGAAAGGAAAGTTTGTGATAGAAGATTGAAAAGGAGTAGGAAGAGAAAATAAGTTACTTTAGGGGCCAGCTGCTCTGCCACAACTCAGCAAGTCTTAACTGTTGACTAGGAAGTCTTTCAGAGACTTGCTACTAGGCTCCTAGGATGCCAGCCTACACCAATTACCCAGAATTTCTGGGGTGAGACGCAGGCATTGGTAGTAGTGTTTGAAACTCTCCAGGTGATCCCAATGTGCAACCAAATTTGAAAACCACTGTTACAGTGGCTTTCTTTGAAGTTTTACTTCATAGAAGGATACATATATAGGTAATAATGGTATCCTTTTTTCCATTCACAGTACACTCCACTGCAAGATAAATAATTATATGAATAGAAGGAAAGAAGGAAGATACTTGCTTTTCCAACAGAAAGGACTTATGCCCTGGTTTATCGTTTTCTTCTCCATAGTTAGTGTGAAGTGCGTAGTTAGAAATGGTATGTCTTGAGAGATACAACAAATTAATCACTGATTTTCCTGTTTCTCCTGATTTTAGAATGTTGCTTTTAAATTACCTAGGCAGAATTGGGTCTAAAACTCCTTTGATGGCAGCTGCCACTTTCTCAGTTGGTTGGAATACCTTTGCTTGCTCGGAGTCGTTGGAGAAGCCACTGAACTGGCTGCTTTTTAATTACTATTTGACAACCTGCCTCCAGTCTTCAGTTAATAAGTGAGTCATCTTTAAAACTTGTTGTCACCAAGCTTTTTGGATTACATGCCCTAACAGTAAACAGTTTTAAAGCATAACACTGTCAAATATGTATATTTATTTATATATTATATGCATTTACTGCTGTACCAAAATATTCTTTATATTATAAACATACACAAAAATCTTTTTAAATTTAAGTATAGACCAAAAATACTAATAAAAATTGTAATGTTTTCTTTCTGTGCCCTCACTGGATTGTCTTATACAATTCCTAGGGAACATGAACCCCACTTTGGAGATCACTGTCTAAACTATTCTGTAAGACTAACAATATTAGTATGGAATGTTTTAAGCAACATAATGGGCCATTTCCCTGGATTTTCTGCTTGTTGCTAATCTTGTAGTTAGCTGCCATCAAGTTAGCCCCCAACTCGTGGCGACCCTACATGTGTCAGAGTAGAACTGTGTTCCTTAGCATTTTCAATGGCTGATTTTCCTGCAGTAGGTCACCAGGCCTTTCTTCCTAAACTGTCTTAGTCTGGAAGCTCCACTGAAACCTGTTCAGCATCATAGCAGCATGCAAGCCTCCACTGACAGACGGGGGTGGCTGTGCATGAACCTGGTCTCCTTCATGGAAGGGGAGAATTCTACCACTGAACCACCACTGTCTTCACTGCTAATCTTATCAGTACTTAATTCTCTCCGAAGTAACAAGTAATGTATTAAGTGCTTTGAGTGCTGAATGATACTGCTTCTTAAACTGGTGCTTACCAGCATGGCATGTTTTAAAAACTTAGGAGAATGCAGTTTACTTGGATATCCTCAGCCCCCACGGTTCCTCCATTACTGAAATACTGTCTTTGAATTTGTTTTTCTGGAGTTGTTTATGTATCTTCTAACAGTTAAACTGGCATGGTAGAGAAGACATAGAGCTGCTTCTGTTTATTTTTATTTTTTAATGACTGGTACCATGTATTTTTAAGTGACTTGATAACTTTAAATATAAACTCTACATAAAAAGACAGTTAATTTGTGCATGACTTACTGAAAACCATAGTTATCGTGAAAGTTCACATTAAATGTTGGATTAAGCTTCATTTATTTATAAAACTACAGATGTTCATTATAAAATACTGCCAGAAATACTAACGAAGAGTCGTCATTAATTACTCAAGTAGTCATTGAAATGGGGATGGTAGCAAGAAAAGTGAAAGAGTGATCTGAATTAAAATGTCAATTTTACAAGAAAAATGACCAACATTTGAAAAATAAGTATGCAAAAATGTAAATTCTAATTTTCAGTCTGGCAATTTAAAAAATAACATCTTCAGGAGAAATATCAATGTTTGATTGATTAAATAAATACTTATTGAGTACCAACTACATGCCCTGTGCTAGGATATTTAGTTATTTATTATTATGCATTTAGGTGTGGTTGAGCTTAATTGTTTACTATTGCAATTCTTTTTTTCTAGGCACCGGCATATGTTTGTAAAACAAATTGATATGGATCATGTTATGAAGGTAGGAGAGAAACTTTGTATAATACTTTTATTTCCTTGTTTGATTCCAAGAATAGATAAAATTTGTTTTTATTTTTCAGGCTAAATCCATCAGAGAGTTTGATAAGCGATTCACATCAGTCATGTTTGGCTACCGAACAATTGATGATTATTATACGGATGCCAGTCCAAATCGTAGACTAAAGTCAGTAGGAATTCCTGTGTTGTGTCTGAATTCTGTGGATGATGTTTTCTCACCCAGTCATGGTAAAATGAACATCTTTGTATATATTTTGACATGTATTAACTGTTGTTCTTTCTAAGAAAATACAGTATTAAGCAACTGATGTTGTTCTTGCTAAGGAGGAGCCTGGTGGCACAGTGGTTAAGAGCTCGGCTGCTAACCAAAAAGTTGGCAGTTTGAATCCACCAGCTGCTCCTTGGAAACCCTATGGGGCAGTTCTGTTCCATTCTATAGGATGGCTATGAGTCGGAATCGACTTGACAGCAACAGCCTTGGCTTGGCCTAAGAAAATACATTATGAAGAAATAAAATGTCAGTCATATGTTTTATACTGTGATAAACAGAAAGAAAAAAAAACTAGACACTCATAACATAATATCTAAATGTCTTGAATCACTTTTTACACATTTTCACAGGACCTTATCTAGACCTCTGTGAGAGCCTCAGAAGAAATTATGACTCAATATTTTGCTTGTTCTCATTTTTATAACCTTTCTTATCTCATACACTGCTTGTTGGACAGATAATGTTACAGTATCTTTGCCTCAGGAGTACATTGTCATCACATGCCTTTTCTTCATAGGGTTTTCGACAAAAGGGTTTGAAGTTTTCCCACCTCTTAACCTGCAAGACAGCCCTGGTGGCGCAGTGGTTAAGCATTCAGCTGCCAACCAAAAGGTCAGCAGTTCAGATCCACAAGCTGCTTCTTGGAAACCCTATGGGGCAGTTCTATTCTGCCCCATAGGGTCGCTTTGGCCTATAGGGTCGCTATGAGTTGGAATCAACATGATGGCAGCAGGTTTGGATTTTTTTTTTTAAAACCTGAAGAGAACTTGAGACTTTATAAACATGATGGGCTTGAATATCTCATTATAGCACCTTAGGACTATAAAGTCATATTTGAAAGGAAACAGTCTTTGTTTTCCCTCTGGATATTATATGACAGAAAATTATGCCAGAATTAACTTTTCTGCTCTCTTAATTCAAGAAATAAGGAATTTGGTAACAAAGGCATATATGTTTGTGTTCATACACTGAAGCAATATGAAATGATTAGAAGTAATCATACTATCTGAAGGATCAGTAGACTTGACCTCTAATTTTTTTCTAATGAAATTTCAGGAAGCACTTTATAAAACTTGTTCTCCTTATCTCCCCCTAAATATTTTTAAAACATTTTCCTCAAGTACTTCATTAAAAAAATTATTCTCAGTACAAACTCAATGCATATACGTATTGTGAAAATTTCAGAAAATCACCAACGTATATCTAAAAAATCAACTATCATTCCTCTAGGGAATTCCATTTTATTGTGTGATTTATGGTTAATCACAGGTAATTTTAAATAGATGGAACTTTTGGCCTTTGGCCACAAACCAGAAAATGAAACTGTAAACTTTAATATTAGTTGTTTAGCCTGTTTTCATTGAATTAAGGAAGTCTAGTATTTCTCTGCCCATTTTTATATTTCACTGACCCTGCTTCTAGCAACAAAAATTTCCTAACATTTAGTCTGACTCACTTGGTTGAAGTTTGAACTCATTATTTCCTGTTCTCACCCTTAAAATAGTCTTGCCACATGGAAATAGTGGACAATTGTCTGCAGCCTAAGAAGGCAGGCAGCCACCATCTTTCACATGACTCAAATGTGGCACGGCCTTTTGTTCTTCTAATATGACTGTAACTATCGCTGTTAGAAATTGCTGAGTGTTTCCATAGTGTGAAACTGGGGTTCTTAATAATTACCTTAGAGGCAAATGCAGCCCTCTAAATCTAAGCCCTTAATGTATGGTGAAAAAGGGAAAGCAAAAATAGTGTCAGTCTTTTCCATCCAGTTGCTGTCGATTCCAACTCATATGACCCTTTGGGTCAGAGTAGAACCGTGCTCTATAAGATTTTCAGTGGCTGATTTTTGGAAGTCGATCGCCAGGCCTTTCCTCTGAAACACCTCCAGGTGGTCTTGCCTCCAGCCTTTTGTTTAGCAGCTGAGTGTGTTAACTGTTTGCACCACCCAGGTCTACATCAGTTGTTTAGCCCTCCTGTTAAGTTCCCACACGTGACCCCAAGATAGGAGATGTCCACTTTGAGGTCTTCTTCTTTGGGATGGATGTGGCTGCCTAAGGCTATGAGTTAAGCACTCCTCTTGGACGAGGACTTAGCTTGCTGTGCCTTGATTTAGGGTCTCTGGGTTTATTCTTCAGGGAATGTTATGAGGGGTCAAATTGAGAGTATCATCTAAACAGGCAATTTGTGCACTGCAGCATCTCTATCTCAGAAAGGGTTAGGATTTCTGGTGTGTCGGCTTCCTTTCCCTCAGAAGAGAGGATTAGGGTAAGGAGAGCTTGCCTTTAATTAGCTCATTTACCCCTAAAATTCAGCCCAAGATATAAAGGTCTACTTATTGCATCAACCACATTATCTTAATTAAGGAGATAAGATTCGGCAGAACCTGAAATCAAAACTCTTCTTATGCCAGGTTGTGATCCATTATAAATCTTAAATCAAAACATTTTAACTATCTGAACTCTAAGCATGGGAGAAAAATAATAAAAATAATGTGACTTTAATTAATATCTTTTAGAGTGAAATTTATACTCAGGATAGATTTCTTAGAGCATATGGAAAGACTGTCATTACTGATGAGTTATATTAAATACAGCAACTATATTTTCAAAATAAAAATTCTTTCTCCTGACTAAAATGGAGTTGCAGAAGAGAGAAAAGAAACCATTAAAAGATGAACACTACTACCGTTTATGAGTATTTTATTCCTTTTTTGTTATCTATGATAGTAAAATAGGAGACCTGGTGGCACAGTGGTTAAACCGCTCGGCTGCTAGCCAAAAGGTCGGCAGTTTGAACCCACCAGCCACTCTGCAGGAGAAAGATGTGGCTAATCTGCTTCCATAAAGATTATGGCCTTGGAAACCCTGCAGGGCGGTTCTGCTGTGTCTTGCTGGGTCACTGTGAGTTAGCATCAACAAGATGGCAGTGGTTTTATATATGTTTTTAGTATATAAACATAATTATAATTTTGAATCTTTAATACAGCCACTCATTGGCCTCTGGAATCTAACTTTGTATAAAGTTAAACAAAGTCATACATTATGAGTTTGTAACTCTCAGAGGTGGTAACACCTAGGTGGAAGTCTTGTAGCATATAGTGTAAGTATTCACCATTCCTTGAATTATTTTAATTTCTCAAAACAAGACTGGGTCTGTGTTTTTGTGTTGTGATTAAACAGTTGATTTGATTCTTCCAAAAATGACAGTCCAGTACATGACCATAAACCTGAATTGTTACAAGAATATAGACAGTTGATATAAATTTGTCAAACTTACTCCATTTCCTCATACTCATTACAGGTATTTGTTTAATGGTGGTCTAAATTGATTACAAATAATAAAGGTATACACTGTTTCTAAACAAAACTGGTAATGATTATATTTTTTCTCTCTCCTACTCTCCCCACCCTCCCCCCAAGCTATTCCAGTAGAAACTGCTAAGCAAAACCCTAATGTGGCTTTGGTCCTTACTTCTCATGGAGGCCATATTGGTTTTCTGGAAGGAATCTGGCCAAGGCAATCCACTTACATGGATCGTGTCTTCAAGCAGTTTGTGCAGGCCATGGTTGAGCATGGACATGAACTCTGTAACATGTAGTCTTCTGGTGTATTTCGTCTGAACCACCATTATAAAGGCAGCTCAGCTTAGTGCACAAATTTTAACTACTGTATATAAAGCAAATAAGCCAGCAGGTGGGTGAAGAGGTCCAGAATGACATGCAAAAACTACTTTTTGGGGAAATAAAACAACTTTGTAGCAAGAAATTAAATATAGTATTAGATTGTTACGTAGATTTTATTTTTACTATGCCTTACCAAGTATGACCTTAAAGTAGTATAAATGGAATTGCACTTAACCAAAACTATCATGTAAAAAGATTTTAATTCCTCAGGGTTTTAATTTAGACTAGTATTTTTTAGATTACTCATTTTAGGTAATTTAATGGTACTTTAATAACTGTTAAGAGGTTTTGTTTATTTGAATGTAAGTTGGCACATTCCTAAGGGTGTCTGTACCTTGACGATATATCATGATAACATGAAGACTGAAATACAATACACTAAATCTTTTATGTATTCTAACTTTAAAAGACAAGCGCAACAATGTTAGACTGACTTCAATACATGCTCTTTTACTCTGATAATATTCAATTAGGGCTGATTTATGTTTTATAATGATTATAATTCACATGCTTATTTTTAAAATAGTATATATGCATACATATATACCATTATATTAAAATAAATTCTACCATTTTAAACTGTTTCTTTGTAAGTTTTTACCTACAAAAAAGGCCCAGAAAGTAATCCCTAGAAATTAATTTATGATAATCTCATGAACACATTAAGATGAAAAATTAAAATTGTTTTGTTTCACTGTTTCCACCACTGGCTCACACCGTTGAGACCAGTTAAGAATAGTTTCAGCTACAGGAAACCTGTGTAACAATGACTTAAGGAATAATGATACTTAATCATCTTACATCAGAAGAAATCTCTAGATAGGCGGTCCAGAGTAGGTACAGGGACTTACAATGTCATCAAAGACCCAGGCTCTTTCTGTTCCACTCTATCCTTAGCATCCTAGATATCTTCTAGACACAGGATGGCTACTGCAGTTCTAGATATCACATTCACATTCAGAGAAGGAAAACGGGGAAGAAGTGGTGCCAGACACATCTGCCGTTTTGGAAAAGTGAAAACTTTCCCAGAAGACTTGCACTTATACCCATTGGTCAGAACTAGGCCACATGCCCACCCTTGGTTGAGTGGGAAAGTGGGAAAGCAAATATGTAAACTTATCTGACTATAGTTGAGGCTGGCAAAGGAGACAGGATTGGCAGTGGTTGTTGGGCTTGTCAGTCAACTGTGAGAGCTTCCATACCACTGAACATCCTTTCCCTCTTTTTTTACTATCTCAACGTGTTTTTAAAATATATGTATTTTTGTCCTAGGTATTTCATTGAGAGAACTATATGCAAAAAAAGCATACTAACAAAACTGTCTATCAAAAAATGCCACCATTTGGAGAGTTCTTGATAATGTACTCCCTCAACACTGTCTAGAATGGCAGAACGGTAATACCAGTGCTTTTTTGTCTGGACAGCATATATTCCATAAACAATAATTACACTCAGTTGATATGGCTCAGGTGAGGCTGATCCTATCTTCCAGAGTTATCTTTAGACTCTTTGGGGAGCTATCATGAAAGACACTCTTTCTCTGGGATTACAAACCCTAAGGACCATGGAAGCCTGGATTTTCGAGGGACCATTCTTGTTGCCTTGTGGAATGAACCTGAGAACAAAGCCAGGAAAGTAGAGGCAAAAGGAAAACAACAAAAGTCCTGAAGACTTTATTTGAATCTGTTTCTAGTCAAGCCAAAAGCCCTAGGCCTTCTTAGTAAAAAGAGTTAATAAATTCTTTTTTTAAGTTGGTCTTCTTTCACTCACAACTAGGAGTCTTGCCCAATACATTTAGGAATGAAGTATGTGAAGAGAATGCTCAGCTTGTTAGCCCCGGGAGGATAGGGTCTGTGTCTCACATATTTTATGCCCCAAAGCATTTATACAGCACTTTATACATATGGAGCCCTGGTGGCGCAATGGTTAAGAGCTCAGCTGCTAACTAAGAGGCTGGCAGTTTGAATCCACCAGCTATTCCTTGGAAACCCTGTGGGGCAGTTCGACTCTGTCCTATGGCGTCTCTATGAATCGGATCAACTCAACAGCAATGAGTTTGGTTTTTGGGTTTATACATACAGCTATGTAAAATTATGGATTTTTATGTATATATGAATGCTTTCTGACCTGAATCATATTTTAACATCTGTATTGCGATATAATTCATCTATAATAAAATTCACCCACTTTAAGTGTACAGTTCAGTGGTTTTATTTTATTCACAGAGTTGTGCAACCATCACTACTGTCTAAGTTTGGAGCATTTCATCACCCCAAAAAGAAATCCCCTACCCATTAGTAGTCACTCCCCATCTCCACCCCCAACCCCCAACCATAGGCAACTACAAATCTATTTTCTGTCTCTACAGATTTGCCTATTCTTGACATTTCATATAAATGAATCATACAATATGTGGTCTTTTGTGACTGGCTTCTCTCACTTAATATTTTCAAATTACTTTGAAAATACATATGAAACAACACGTGATACATGTTGTAGCATGTATCAGTGCTTCATTCCTTTTTCTGCAAGCATCCTATTCCATTGTATGGCTATACCACACTTCATTTATTCATTCATCAGCTGATGGACATTTGGATTGTTTCTGCTTTTTGGCCATTATGAATAATGTTGCTATGAACATTCCAGTGTATGTTTTTGTGTAAACATGTTTTCATTTCTCTTAAATATATACTTAGGAGTGAAATTGCTGGGTCATAGGGTTACTCTATGTTTAACCTGTGGAGGAACTGCCAGACTTTCCAAAGAAGCTGCACCATTTTACATTCCCACCAGCAGTATACGAGGGTTCCAATTTCGTCACATCCTCATGAACACTTGTTATTGTTGGTCTTTTTCATTGTAGCCTTCCTACTGGATGTGAATCATAAATTTTAATCATGATAGTCTCCTAAAACAAAATGCGAACTAGCTATGTAATGTTTAATAATGATTTCTTATACGTGAACATGTCTAAAACCAAAAATTAGAGTTGAGAAGGTAGCTATGGAGTCTATAATACTAATTTCAGGGATCTTGGGGTGGTAAATAGAAGATATTGGCAAAAAGATTAGGAGAGCTTAAATGAGAGGCTATTTAAATATACAGGGACTTCGGTTCTATTAGCATCTCTGGCATCCTTCCTAGTGTTTTTTTGTTTTGTTTTGTTTTTGATGCATGTCTTTATTTCCTGCTTACTACATATTTGCTCTCTGTATTTGTTTCTCTTGTTTTGTTTTTTTATTTGTTGATTTTAATCATCCAGATAGGAATTTTTTATAAATCTAATCTTTTTAGTAAATATTATACTTACAGAGTTCAAAAATGAGCATGATAACAGATACAGGAGAAGTAGTACTCCCACCCCTGCCCCTACCCTCTTTTCCCTCACCTTGCCCCTTTAAGTAACCATTTTTATTATAATGTTGTTGTTGGTTGCCGTTGAGTTGATTCCTACTCATGGTGACCCCATGTGTTACAGAGTAGAACTGCTCCATAGGGTTTCCAAGGGACTGTGATCTTAATGGAAGTAGATTGCCAGGACTTTTGTTCCACAGTACTGCCGGGTGAGTTTGAACTGCCAACCTTTAAATTAGCAGTCAAGCACAAACTGTGCCACCTAAGGCCTTTTTCTTATTTATTTTATTGTGCTTTAGGTGAAAGTTTACAGAGCAAATTAGTTTCTTATTCAAAAATTTATACACAAATTGTTTGCAACATTGGTTGTAGTCCCCACAATGTGTCACACTCTCCCCGTTTCCACCCTCGGTTCCCCATTTCCATTCATCCAGTTTTCCTATCCCTGCCTTCTAGTCTTTGCTTTTGGGGAGCTGTTGCCCATTTGGTCTCATATACTTGATTGATCTAAGAAGCACATTCCTCACATGTGTTATTGTTTGTTTTATAGACCTGTCTAATCTATGGCTGAAAGGTGGACTTCCAGAGTGGCTACAGTTCTGAGTTAGCAGGGTGTCCAGGGGCCATAGTCTAGGAGGTTCCTCCATTCTCTGTCAGACCAGTAAGTCTGGTCTTTCTTGTGAATTTGAATTTTGTTCTACATTTTTTCTCCTGCTCTCTCCGGGACCCTTTATTGTGATGCCTGTCAGAGTGGTCGGTAGTGGTAGCTGGGCACCATATAGTTCTGGGCTCAGGCTGGTAGAGGCTGTGGTTTATGTGGTCCATTAGTCCTTTGGACTATATTTTCCTTGTGTCTTTGGTATTCTTCATTCTCCTTTACTCTGGACGGACCAATAGATGGCCGCTTGCAAGCTTTTAAGATCCCAGACACTACTCACCAAAGTAAGATGTAGAACATTTTCTTTATGAGCTGTGTTATGCCAATTGTCCTAGATGTTCATCGAGACCATGGTCCCCAGCCCTCAGTCCCAGTAACTCAGTCCCTCAAGGCGTTTGGATGTGTCTAGGAAGCTTCTATGACTGTGTCCCTTTTGTGCTCAATTACATACATGAATACACATGCTGTACATACAAACATGTATGTAAAAATATCCACAGCCTAACCTATATATGTATGTGGGTATACTCCTACATGCTCTCCTTCCCCTATTCAGCATATGTATCTGCCTATGTATCAGCTTGTAAGTTATTACTTGTTTTTACTATTGTTGTAGGATTGTATATGCTATAGTATTTACTGTGGTTGACTCTTTTTTTTTTCCTTGTGTTCCTCTAAATGTCTTCCTTTGCCTTGGTCAAGTTGTGCTGACTTCCCCTATATCGTGTATTGTCTTTCCCTTCACCAAAGTTAACACTTGTCTACTATCCAGTTAGTGATTTCCCCTTCCCACCCCTCCCCCTCTCCTAACCATCAAAGACTGTTTCTTTCGGTGTGTAAACCTTTTCTTGAGTTTTTATAATAGTGGTTGTTGTGGATTGAATTATGTCCCCCGGAAAATGTGTGTATCAATTTGTCTGGGCCATGATTCCCAGTATTGTGATTTCCCTGTATGTTTTAAATCCTGCCTCTACGATGTTAATGAGGGAGAATGGGCGGCAGTTGTGTTAGTGAGGCAGGACTCAATCTACAACATTGGATTGTGTCTTGAGGCAATCTCTTGAGATATAAAAGAGAGAAGTGAGCAGAGAGACAGGTGGACCTCATACCACCAAGAAAGCAGTGCTGGGAGCAGAGCGCGTCCTTTGGACCCAGGGTCCCTGTGCAGGGAAGCTCCTAGTCGGGGAAGATTGAAGAGAAGGCCGACACAGAGAGAAAAAGCCTTCCGCTGGAGCTGATGCCCTGAATTTGGACTTTTAGGCTACTTTACTGTGAGGAAATAAACTTCTCTTTGTTAAAGCCATCCACTTGTGGTATTTCTGTTATAGCAGTACTAGATAACTAGGACAGTGGTCTCATGCAATATTTGTCCTTTTGTGATTGACCTATTTCAGTCAGCATGATGCCATCCAGATTCATCAGTGTTGTGAGATGTTTCGAGGATTTGTCATTGTTCTTTATCATTGTGTAGTATTCCATTGTGTGTACGTACCATAATTTGTTTATTCATTCATCTATTGATGGGCACTTAGCTTGTTTCCATCTTTTTGCTATTGTGAATAATGCT